AAATAGGCTCATCGGTTTACTGCTTTCTCTTGTTATTAAGCACATAATTGTAATGGCCTCATAGAGTGAAGATATTATTTTGGTTTTCTAATTTTGGAAATGGGGTCTTCAACCAAGGCTGGAAAATGCCACTCAATAATTAGACTTATCTTGAAAATTCTTTTGAAGTATGTTTTACTTTTGAATAATTGGGGATTAATTTATAAATTTTTTTGTTTTTAGTAAATCAGGGACATTAACACATAAGACATATGTAGTTGTTGAGGGATCCACTTGAGAGTTCTGAACATTCCTCTGTGGGAAGGGCATTTGAGTGTTAGTAATGGTGAGAGAAGACCTAGTTTTCATTCCCTTTGTTTGTTGAATAAATTTGATATGTCCTCCCCAATTTTGTCATAAGTGGTTTTATATAGAAGTGGGAATAGTTATCCTCATATTTGTACCTTAGAGCAAGTAGCCAATTTTTACCAATGAAAGCTGAGCCTGGGGGGTTTTATGAGCCACAGGAGATGGCTGTGTGATATTTAACATTTAGCCAAATGTTAACCACAAAGAATTCTTTCTTAGATGGTTATTTTATTACTACCTTTTCTAAGTGGGAGGTTAGTATGTTAGGTCTGTAAATTGGAATTATAACAGTTTAAGGTAGATCAAGAGTAGAATGTCCATGTTTCTGTTGTACTCATTTGGCTTTTATTTATATATTAAAAATAAACTTTCAGTGTTTAAATAAAAGGAACACACACACACATTAAATGGAATATAGAATCTCCACACTACGAATTTTGCTTCCTGAAAGTAATCACTTGATAATTTTGGGGTATTTTTAATACTTATACCCACATCTAAATATTCGCTTTAAGAAATTTATACACATAGATTCATATACATTCTCTTTTTACTATCCTTTCTCCAGTTTGTAGTATATGTTGTACATCTTACATATCAGCACTTAAAATTCTACCCACAGCTTTTAATGTCTGCCTGGCATTCTGCTGTATATTTTTATTATGATTGATAGACATTTGGGCTGTTTACTATTGTTGGAAATTCAGGTTGTTTACGGTTTTCTGTAGTGGCTTCTTTTGACCACTCAATCTGAAGTAGCTGGAACATCTCTGTTGCATGACATATTTAGATTTTTGTAAAGCCATGCATTAGCCTATTATTCTTTATCTGTTGTCGAGCATAGTGCCTGTTATATAATAGGTACTCAAAATATTTATAGAACAAATAAATACTACGGTAAATATTTTTGTAGTTAGTTTTTGTTAGAGTTTAGGTAATTTCTACCAGATTGAAAAATTGCAACTGTAATCTTTTAGAATAGACTCCTCTACAACAGAAACTTATTTATAAATAATGACTCTTGTTACATTGTTTTCAAAAAATCCTTGGTTTTATATTTGAGTTTAAGAATCTTTCAGAGACTTCCTACATTATATAGACAAATTTTTCAGATATAATATTGCTAATACATTATAGATAGTTAACTGTATATGCCATGCAAATCTGCTCAGAAAGTTTGCTCACATTTAAATCATCAAGGCTATCTACTAGTCTGAATGTTTCCCCAATTTTAGTGCAGTATTTTAATGAGGTGGTATGGTTGCACAGTTTTCTGTCCACAAGGGTGAGCTAGTTGCTCTAAAAATCAAGAGAAGGCATTACGTTTGATTAAATTCTAACTTGCTAAACTTTAATTAATGGTAGCTTGTTCTAGGTTCTGTTTTCTATGTCAGCCGTGCTTTGAGCTAGTTCTCTATGTATAATTTTAACAGATTAAGCCAGTTCGTCCTTTTAACCACCAGCCCTCCTGACCTTTCATCTTCATCTGACCCATGGCATATTTCTAGAATGGTGCTTCAAGAACAATTATAGTCTGCTCAGCTAGAGTGATGATTCATTCTAAAAATCACCTTTAAAAATAGCAAGGGCGTGTGATCTAAGGTAGAAGAATTTATGCTGTGTGTTGTACAGAAAGTACCTTTTCTAGATGTGCCAACTATTGGGTTAAGGATAAGATATAAGCTAAATATAGGACTTGGGGTTTAACGCCTAGCTCCACCACAGGCTAGCTGTGTGAGCTTGAAGTTCTCACTGGGTTGCTGTGGAAATCCTATACCTACCTCACAGAGTTGTCTTGAGGTTTGAATAAGATGATATATTTAAAATCCTTAGCATATTGTAATTTTAGAAATTATTATAACAGAGTAAAATCAGTGGCAGAAGAGCCAGAAATCGAATGGCTTCTCTCACTTTTTTGTACATTTACAAAGTTTTAAAGGGAAGTTCTTTGTTAGCAAGATTCTTCTTTCAATTTTTTCTCCCTTGTTCAAATGTTTGAGACACCCAGAATTGGAGGAATAAATTGAAATGTGTTGAACCAGAATAAAATATGAGAGAAAAGAAATAAACCAAGAATTAGACCTTAAAATTCTCAGCCTGCTCAAGGAACATGCTGCTGCTGTAGTTTCCCCTTGCTCTTCTCCGTTTTTCTTTGCCTCTGGGCCTCCTTCCTCTCTGTGTCACCACAGTGGTGTGTTGCCTCTTTTATGCTCCCTTGTCTGATGTTGCCAGGCACATATAACATTTCAAGTGAGGAGTGCAAGTTTGACTCATCCTTATAATAAAATATTAAGCTGGATTGTTTTGAATTCTAGATAAACCTTTTGATCCTTGTCATTTTCATCATAGCCCTGAGTTACAACATGGAAACTTTTATTAATATCATCAGTTTTGTAATGATTCTGATATTCCTTCTCAAAAGCATGTAAATGGAAGTGTTAAATGCTGTGCTCCCACTGAGCTTTGGTTTCATGTGAATGGACTTGCCACATTTCTCGTTTTGTCTTTCAGTGGTTAATTTCAGCCCAAGAATCTTGGCACATGATAGCTTGTTATGGCACCACATTGCATTTATAGTCACTGAACTTCCTAGCGGGGACATCATCCTGTTTGGCATCCAATGAGCTCTTCAGTGTTTATAGTAGGAACTGTCTGTCTCAGCTTTGAGAGTTGTAGCATTGTAGGGCTACACATTTAGACAGAGGGTTTGAATGTAGCACATTTTCTTCTGGTTCCCGTGACCTGGGTTCCCATGACCTGTTTCCAGAAAGCATACAATATAATAGTTTGCATTCCTCTGAGAGGAGCCAGATCATGGATAATTTAATTGTTGACCCATGGAAAACAAGAATATTTGGGAGGGGGATTTAGACAGAAGGGAATATTTAAAAGTAACTAAACTAGAAGATGTTCTCAGGGAAGTAAGATCACTTTCCATTTTGGTGGGAGCCTCTTTGCAGTCTTCAAATGTATTGATGGGGTTTTTAATGTTGGACAGTGGTCTTGGGCCATTTGCTTCAATGTCAGGGCACCAGTTTCTACCCTAAATAAATTTAGCTTTCAGCTGGCTTTTGTATGACTGTAGATTATTTATAGAAGTATAATTAATTGAAGTGTTGTGAACTACAGAGCAAAGCTGCTTTGTAGTATAGCTAAGTCACACATATGCTTGACAAATGTTACTCATGGCGGCAATCATCCAAGTATTGTTGGCACTGCATCTCTAGTTATTTTTACTGTTGCTGCCCAGTTAGACCTGACTGTGTGCAAACCTCCCCAAGTTCCCTTTTGGATGATGTGATTTATAACTCTAATAAAAAAAGGCTTTGGAGAGCTCAGACTTTTGGTTTTTCTAGTGATTTTCTGGTTTGTTGTTATTGTTATTTATCATCTCTGGTGTCTCTGCTTGAATTTCAGAATTTAAATATGTCCGTGTATTATTAATGAACCCCTTAGACCAAAATAGAACTTAAAAACACTCAGAAAGAGGTCATGGTGTTTTAAGGAAAGGCTAAGGGCACCTGGCATCCAGTAATTCAGAAGAGTATGTTCAAGTAGGCTTTTCTTATCTATAGTCATGGAGAGTGACCTATGATATGTGGAAGCACTTGTGGGTAATGTAACATTGTCACCTCCAGTTCCCAGGTCACCCTTTATAAATCATTAAGTGTAAACAGGTGTGATTACTTAAGAATGAAGGAATCAGCACGTAAATGAGTTGATGTATTGTTTAACAGTTCTGGGCATACGTTGTGATTCAGAATTATGTGAAAGAAGAAGTCTATTTGTCACCTATGATATAAAAGCTTTTCTCTAGTGAGATAATATCATTATGAACACTTGGTACTTTTATATTATTAGCTAAATTAATGAATGTCTCAAAAACTATACCTAAGGAAATACTGTCTCAGACCTTCTTGCGGTATACTAAGAGTCTTACAATACTTTGTCAGGTATACTTTACTTCCTTCATGCAGTGAGTATGTTCCTTCTTAGAGTTTCCTTAAATCAAATTGCTTTAGATGAACGGAGTGCTTCTGTTTAAATTAAAGATCTTCATATGTGCCTTTAATGAGACAATCAACTCCCAGTTTATGTCTTATTTTGTTTTTAAATGTCAGTTTTTAAAGAATGCTTCACCTGACACCTACCTGTGTAAAGTTTTAGAATACACACATTTCTTTATGTTGCTGGCCAGCAAATTAAATAAATGCATTCTCATAGTTATTTGTTTATGAAAAAGCAATGCTTGTATAAATACATTTTTTTAAACATCTTTTAAACATAGGATTTTTAACATGGTTGAAAAGATAATTATAAAAATACATTTCAAAACCTGGCTTTTGTTGTTGTTGTTGTTCTGTGTGTATTTTAATGAGCAAAGGAATATTGCTTCTAGTAATTTCAAATAAGTGTGTATAAGTTGTTTTTTCCCAGAGGACAGGCTGTAAAACTGCTGGAAGAAAGCCTTAAACAGAAAGAAGCCATGTTAACCTTAAGGCTCCTAAAAGAGAATATAAGTGAGTTTGGAAAACTCTGTTAAAAGGGGCCATCATCTGTGAGTTGTCATATTCTCTTCCTTCTGGCTTTTGCCCAGTTGTGATGAACAGAAGGACAGTCTTCTGTTGAGCAGAGACAGAAAGGGGCTGGGCAGCTAGTTATCCAGAGCATGGTTTGGGAATATTAAAAAGGCAATTTAATAATTTTTGGTCTCCAAAAAGGTGGTGGAAACAGCCAGGTGTCTTTTATTAGTCCTTCTACCGTAAGAGGCTTCCTGAATTGGAGCTGAGCTCATGACCACTCAGCTAGTGATTGCATTTCCTTTCCTTGCCTCTGGATGTGGTCATTTGACTAAGTTCTGGAGGATGAGAAGTGAGTGGAAGTACTATGTGCACTTTCTGGAGCTAGTCTTTAGAAAGAAGGTGCTTGCCATCTTATTCTGCTTTCTCATTGGTTAGAAAAAGCTAAAAACTTGGAGTAGCTGTCTTGAACCCATAGATGGAAGTCATATTATGAAGATGCAAATGCCCCACCAATCCTTCATCTTTCATTCAGGATAGTAGCATTAGAAAGAAACTTCTATCTTATTTAAGCTAAGGTAAGAGATTGATAACACTTTTGTTTAAAGTAACTTAAAATATCTAGGTATATATGTTTCTTTAAAAATCTCTCTAGGACAATTATTAGTTCATATTTTTTACTTATACTAGCTAGGAACTTATACTATCTAGGAAAGAAGGTGCTTGCCATCCTGAGCCACATATATGTTGTTAGCTGATTTTTTTTTCTGTAAATCTTGCTGTAAGACAAGTTGTATTTTACTTTCTGTGTGTAGTGATGAGGAACCATTAATGCTCATGTTTTGTTAATGTGAGAAGATACATACTTTATGATAGTTTACCTAAATTGTAGGAATCAAAGGAAACTTAGAAGGAACTACAGTCTCATACCTTCTTTCCTTACCAATGTAGATATATATTTTTTTTTAACCATTAGCATTTAAATATTTTAGTTTGCTGTTTTTTGGTCTCAGTAGTTTGGTAAGGTAGCTTTTCCCTCTTCTGTTAATTGTATTTAATAATGGAAGTGGGAAAATGTCAAATGCTTTGAAGTAATTTTTAGCAAGAAAAGCAACAAATTTATTTTATAAAGTCATTCAGTACAGTGGGAAAAGTTGGATTACTGAACAAATTGTGCTGGCACACAACTTTTCATATGGAATTAACTGAAACCTTAAAACATATGAAAAGACGACTTTCAAGTGGATTAAAGTGGATTAAATTTAAAAAAGGAAACAGTAAATCTAGAAAAAGAAACTTTTATATACTTCAGGAATTGGGGAAACCCTATTGAAGGCTATAGATCCAGACTTTTTTTTTTTTAAAGAAGGACATATTGGCTACACAAAAAAAATAATTCAGTGTTACAAGATACCATGAACAAAGTCAGTAGAAATGCAGTAGATTTGGAGAGATGACTAGGGTTCGTATCAATAATAGACAAAGAGTTCTTAATTTAAATTGACAAGCCATACAATAGAAAAAAGTGGGCAAAATACAAAAGTGGGCAATTCACAGGAGAGCAAAGCCAAATTGCCAGCAAATCTTTGAAATAATGCTCAAAGTTTAGCAGTTAGAGAAATAATAATTGAAGAAACAATGTTGTGTTACTGTATTAGTTTTCTCTTATTGCATAAGAAATGACCTCAAATTTGAAACAGTCCTAATATAATTTAATTTTTGTGGGTCAGGAGTCAGGTATGGTTTAGTTGGGTCATCTGCTCAGAGTCTTGCAAGGCTATAAACAAATATGACCATCTTTTTTTTTTTTCTTTTTAAAGTAAGTGTTTTCAGCTGTTCTCAGGGTCCTCTTCTAAGTTTATGTGAGGGTTGGCAGAATTCCGCTCCTGAGGCTGTAGAACTGGGGCCATAGGACTGAGGCCCCTTGGTCTTGTTGGTTGTCAGCTGGGGCAACTTTCAGATCTTAGGGACCCCTACAGTTCCCTCTCACATAGCTTTCTTACAACATGGCATCTTATTTCTTCAAAACCGGCGGGCAAATCTCTGGCTCCACTCTGCTAATAACAAACTATAATCATGACAGTGACTGTCTTACCACCTTTGCCATATTCTTTTGGATAGAAGCAAGTCACAGGTTCTGACCACACTCAGATGATGTAACTCATTGGTGGTCATCTTAGGATTCTCCCTACTGCAGTCATTTTCTATTCATTAAGTTGGAAACAATGAAAAAAAGATGCTACATTTATTGCTGGGAGGGGATGACAGGTATGTGTAGGAAAGGGAACTTCTGTTTATGACTATTAGAAAGGAAAGTTATAGCCTTTAAATAATGCAGCATTATTAGCAGTGGCAGAAAACTGGTAGCAAAGTGAATGCCCATTAGTATGGGGAGTGGCTGGATAGAGCATGCTACACCATGGAATATTCTACTCCTTTACGAAAATTAGCTAAGTACCAATTAACTTGGAGAAGTTTGCCAGAGATACTGTTGGGTGAAATAGGATAGATGGAGAAAAATAATCTAATTCTTTGGGTAGAGGGAGGTATAAACTGCTATGTATATATGTTTTGGGGTTTGTGGTTACATGATTGTCAAGAAAAATGAAATGATATATACTAATTTTTTAACGTGGAGGAGGTTGTTGATGAAGATGAAAAGAGGTGCCATGTGAAAGAAGAAAAGAAGAACAGACTATGTTGAAAAGAAGCATCATCTTCTCATAAGTCTAATATGTGTAATATGGTCATATTTGTGTATTTTTGTATAACTTTTTTCATGTATAAAGAATATTAATACCATGTACTAAAAATCGACTAATATATGGAAATATTCATTTTTTTGTATAGAACTTTCAAAATGGATAGTGAATATTTACAGTGATTTGTTTAGCCATTTCATGTTTTCTTTTGTCAAAATATATTAATTTTTAAGTCAGTAACTCAGATATTTAGATGTCTTGAATATAGAACAGTGTAGCAAAAAAAGGTGAGAGGTGTCTGGAAATAAGGAATAGATATTGTTTAGACATTTCTTTTTTATTTATCCTTACTAGGGTTTGAGCAAATGCTTAGGCCTTAATAAAATCATGAAGTCTAGCTAAAAAGTTGTTTATATATCCGGAGTTAAATAACTTTATTTCAGTTTCTATAATCAAAGTTCTGATTTTGACAAATCTTCAATATTGAGGGTTCTATAAAACTGAAAGGAGCATCTAATTTTTAAGTACATTTTCTTCCAGTGTCTTTTTCTGAAGAAGAGAAATATCAGCTACGAAAATTTGTCAATAAATCTTACCTGCTGGGCAAGAGAGCCCATCGTCAAGTGTACTACAGTTTGATTGATATCCTTCTGGCATATTGCTATGAAATTCGTGTCACTGAAGGAGAGAAGAATGTAAGTGCATTTGTGTCTGTGCTTGTTGGCATAGACTATTGTACTAAGTAAATTGTATTAAGACATCATTCCTCTAATTGAGAGTTAGGCCTGTTATGATTAGTTACTTAGGGAATTCTTCAGGAAGAGGTACATGTATGTTGGTGGTGGGTACCAACATGAAAACATAATGCTTGCTTGGTCTCTTTATCTTCTCTCTTGACGTTAGCTTTTACAGATAGCAGAGGGGGGAAGTAAAGCTGAGGGTAGAGAAAAAGGACCTTTAGGAGATAAATTGACCAAATAAGAGGGCTGTTGCCACATGATATTTGATGTTGGCAAGGGTGAACTTTACTGTACACATTTATATTCTTTCTCTGCGCTGTCAATTAGCAGATGCAAGGTATAGCATTTTATAAGAAAAGGAATCTTTCTAAAGAAATCCTGTTGTAAAGTACATTAGTATTCTTAAATGATCTTTTTAAAAATAATAACATAGACTTGATTTTATCTCTTGAACCACATTTGATTTTGTAAGTAAAGAGCTAAATTTTTTTCTCACCTAAATTAAAAAAAAAAAAAAAAGGCTGGAAAACCAAAAGGAAGTCTTCGTGGTTAACATGCCCCTGCAGCTATTTATAATTATCATTGCTCAAAGGGTTATTCTTGAGCTGAGCATATGCTTTTCTTTTTTTAAAATTACACAAATAGTTCACATCATTATAAAGGGAAATACACACATGAAGAAAGTATTCAGAATTTCCTGTAATCTCAGCCATCAGCAAAAGCTGCTGTTATAAGGTAATATATCTCTTCTAGTCTCTTTCATTGTGTACATGTTTGTATATTTTTTACATTGGGTCATAATGTATATATTACTATTTAATCTGCCTTAACATCATAGCATTAGCATAGTTTTAGGATTAGGATTTATGTGTTAAATTTTTTGTTTTCATGATTCTGAAAATTTAAAAGATAACTCTTGAGATTTGCATTTGACTCCAAAATAAATATTAATGAGTGTATCAAGGGCCTACTATTATTGAAAATGCTTTTTGTTTTCACTCATTGTTTTTAAAGATACTTCAGTTGGAGAAAATGTTTTCTTTGACAAAAAGTACTTCATATTATTGAGATGATAAATGAGAGTGTTTAGTTATACTTGGTGCAGTTTACCATTTTTTATTCTTGTATTTGCATATATGAAATTATGAAGTCTTTCAACTTCAAAACCTTCTTTAGAATATACTTATTCTCACACTCATTCTTTGAAAGGCCAAATTCTTGAGCAGCTTTTTGCCACACATAGCACTTCAACACTATCTTTGAGTCCTTTGGTAGATTATTTATAGCAAGTAACTTAGTTGAGAAGGACGGGAACTGAGCAAGCATTGCTTTGCTTTAATTTTTACTTTCAAAGCCCTGCTTATTTGCTTTTGTGTTTTGGGATTCTTATCAGTGGAAAAGCTTTATTTTATAAAATCCCAAGGAAAGTAGACAGAAACATGTCTTTGATAGCATCTGCATCAGCAATTATTTTTTGCAATCATAAATACTTCTTAGTTCTCATATATGTCAACATTACCCACATAGTAGTTGAATAAATGGATATATTTGTTTTATTTTTAAATGACTATACCTCTAATGAGATAGTATTCTTTTCCCTAAAACAAATAAAGGTTGAATCTGCATGGAATATCAGAAAGCTGAGTCCAACATTGTGCTGGTTTGAGGTATGATTTTTAGTTGCAATTATTTAGATTTTGTTTGTTTAGAAAGTTTTCTGTGTCATTAGTTCATTTTGGGTAATTCAAGCAATTCCTTGAATTTTTGAAAAATGGAAGCTTTATTGTACAAGATTTTTTTTTTTTTGTCGTCGTTTTACTATCTTTTAAATAAAATTCTGATTCCATTTGTTACTCTTACTCTAATCATAGTATATAATGAAACCAGGTCGGGTATTTTGGAAATCAGGAGAGGGAAAAAGAATGGGCACATGGTCTGTTGGAGGAGGATGTGGGATGGAGTTTGAGTCATGTTTGTAAGTTGGCAAATATTGAGGCTCAGAGCTCAAAAATGGGAAGCAAACCTAGGTGATAATAGTCCTAGCTGCCACTTACTGACCACCAAAGACTGCTAAATATTTTATATGTATTACCTCACCAGTTCCTTTCAGTGAGTCTGTATGAAGTATTATTGATATTTTATAGATGAGGAAACTTAGATCATCTAGCTTAAATAACTTAGGTCCTACAATTACTGTGATTAGATCTAATAACTTTTAATATTGTAATAATTATTTTTACATATGTTTTCTAGAAAATAGTTGTGTAGGTTTTACCAAAAACATCAGAGGATGGTATCTTTTACCAGTTTTGAACACTGTTGTTCATCAAAACAGTAATTAAAAGTAGAAGCTTAAAAAAGTGTCAATTTAAATAATTGATATTGTATCAAGTGAAGACAACACCTTTATTTTCTAGTTTAAATCCTAGATACATTTTAAATTGTAAAATCAAGGTCGTTTCATGGCATCACTTTGTTCAAAGAATAAATAGATTAGATGTAAACAGAAACTGAAACACTTAACTTTCAGAGACTCTTGCTACTCCAAGAATGGTCCATGGACCAATAGCTTGACCTCGGCTGAGAGCTTGTTAGCAGGACAGAGTATCAGTCCAGACCCACTGAATCAGAATCTGTAGCAAGATCTCCAAGGATTCATATGCATATTAAAGATGGAGAAGTGCCGTTCTCTAGATTTCCTTTGGGTTCTATGTACTATCATCAGCATAAAATGGAGAAACTGGTTTTTGTAGTAATTGCGTTGATTATGATAAAAACAAAGTAGTTGGTGAGTAATGCCATAGTTCAGTTATTAAAATCTAATGAATAAATTCACTTAGTTATGATTTTATTTTGAAATTTTAATTGTTTTTGAGAACTTAGGACTGTCAACTTTTTATAAGTATTTCATTTTTTTGCTAGAATTTTTTAAAAGTTCATAATTTTTCAATATAAACTATTCTTTGTTACTCAATAGTAATCAGATCTCTCATTTATTAGGGATTAATATGCATAGAAATTATGCTGCTCTCTTAGTTTTAATTTTATATCTTAAGTTTTATATATAGGTTACTTTTTTAAATGAAAACTCATTTTAAAAACAATTTTGTAGAAAATTGCCTTTGTCTAGTTTTTTCAGTAAGTTTTGAATTGCTAATGGTATCTATTTAATACTATTCAAGATAAAACACTTTTCCCCACAGAAATCACTTGTTTTCTTGTTGATAAATGAAAACAAATTACTAAAGTAAATGTCATGTGTTACTCATGCTTAAAGCAAAATGAGGGGTGGGGGCAGGGTAACTATGAACATACTTCCCTGAAGAGTTCTACATCTTTCATCTACACTATCTTGAATGGTCCAAAAGACAAAAACATGAAACATATATCATTTAGAAATGTCTTTTATGTGCATGTGTATTTTGTTAGTGCCATGTGTTTTAGATTCATATTTGTAATTCTTCAGAGACTTTTAAAACTTTCCTGCTACATATATGATTTTTAAGGAGTATTTGTGATATGTTGATAAAATATGAGAAATTATAAAGGCTAAGATGAAATATTTTATTATGAGGTATACAGAAAGTCTCATGGTTTTAGATTTCTCTTCTACATGGCTTAATGATAATCCAAACTTATAATTTTTAATTGAGAATATTTTGTTATTTGCTTTTGTTTGCATAATATGGAAATGATTACTTATTTAAATACTTCACAGACTTGGACTAATGTTCATGAAATCCTGGTGTCTTTTGGAAGAAGAGTTTTGTGCTACCCACTTTATCGTCATTTCAAGCTGGTGACGAAAGCCTGCAGAGACACTATAAAGCTATTGCAATTAGGTAAGATATTATTGTGCTTGCAACATTGAGAATGAAAAGTTATACGTTTTTAAACTTTGAGGAAGTAATAGTGATTTTTATTTGTTTTTTCTATACATAAATTAGTAATGAAAATCATTCAATCCAACCACTTCTTCCTTCCAGGTATATAAAGTAATAGTCCCTCTATACAGATATATAATCACACAAATCACACAGAGAGATGTGGTACTCGTTTTTTTCTGAAAGGAGTGGGGAGGTAAATAGAGAAGGTACATACCATATGCCAAACTATTTTGTATTGTAGTAGATTGCATCATTCAGTTTTTCGTGGATGCCTGTAATTTTCTAGGCACTATGCTAGGATTGTGGATACACTAATACATAAGATAAATTTTCCCCTCATATGAAATTTATAGTTTGGCTTGGAAGACAGATAATAATTAAAAAGCAGTTCCAATATATTATTGGGTAGTATATTGATCCACTAGGATGAGTCATGGAGCCTGTATTTGGGAGGTCAAGAAAGGCTTTCCAAAGAAAAGCATAGCTACTCTGAGGACTTTTGACTATTGCTAAATCCACCCTGAAAAGACAAATATTTGCTAGTTTTAAGGATGTAGAAAATTCTAAGCTCTGCAACAAATTCCAAAGTGCCTATAACAGCATCCTTGGATTAAGAATATAATTTCCAAGATAATGACTTTGTCAGGAACAACATCCATTTCTGTGTACTGTTCTGGCACATTTATTTAAAAGTCATGTTCTGTACTTTATGGCAATTTCTTATATTCTCCCCTGGGGAGTCTCATCGTTCCTTTGTCCTTAGATAAAAGTGCTTCTGGGGACTTAATTTTCAGACTTCTTAATAAGAAGAGAATAGAAAGAAAGATCGTCCCTTTACATCCAGGTGACTCTACTGGATTAAAAGGAAGAATCACATCTCTAATGTTTTTTCCTCCTAGAGGTGTACCTAGGTTTTTCTTTGACTTCTGTGTAACCTTTAGTCTTCTTGCCCTGGGGAACGGGGAATCATGTTTGAAGTAGATTCTTTTAAAGTAGACATTAATTATAAAAATGAATCATAGATAAATGAAAGATAACTTTTTATTAATCCTGTTGGTTTAGACTAGCTATATTTTATTTTGAAGGATTGTTGATTATAGGCTAGTGGAGCTACTATGTTTAAGAAATCCAACTTTAATTTAAATCTATCTAATTTAATTGTAGGAAACAACTTTATTTTTTTGCATGTTATTTCTTCTTGCCTTCCACACATAATATTTCTTAAATTACAAAAAATTACCTTGAAAAATCAATCTACTATAAATAATTGTTGAACTTGAGTTACACGTCACAATTAATTTGTTTAAGTTATGCTAGATTATCTGTGCATTATTCAAAGATATAAACAGTGAGAATTCAGGTTGTGATTATTCTGTTACATCATGGCTTCCAGATGAAAAACTGGTAAAACCCTTTTGTACTTGGGTGTACACACAGGACCACACACACATAAATACAATTACTTGGTACTTTTTATTCTGGGAAATAATGTAGTTATTTAGATTATTATTTGAAAAGTAATCAGTTTTGTGATTGCATAACCAAATATTTGGCGGCCTTGATTTCCACTATAACCAGTTACTCAAAACAGTTGAAATTTAGATTTAACTTTTTATCATTATCAAGCCAGACAAGAACTAGTCTTAGCTGTGTTGTGATAGTAGCAGAAAACCTGAGGTAACACACTGGAGGCTTGTCTGCTGAAAATGAATCTGAACCCACTATAAACTATATACAGTATGTTCTGTGGCTAATTTGGATTGTGGCTAATTAGTGTTGAAACAGAATGTTGAACTGTCTAGAATTCACACCATATGCTCTGGGGATGACAGGCTCTCCGCATGAGGATTATAACCTGTGTTTGTATAGGGATACCATTATTGTCATTTAAGAGTCTCAATTATTTGGATACCCCATAATTTAAGTGGGGATAGCTCAGTCTGGCATTTAATATTTTCCAAGAATGAATTTGTATGCCTACTTATGATTCGAAGTGCAATCACAATGATCACACTTTTATTATAAAGTTCAGCATCCTGTTTCCATAGCTGAAAGTAAAAAATACTTCTTTCCCCTGAAGAAATATTCATCTTAAATGGAACAAGCTTCCAAAACCGACGTAATGAAGGATTTAGAATTCTACCTGATATTTCATAACTAATTGACTAAGATCTGAGTTTGAAAGATCCATGTATTTACTTCACTTGACTTTACTGTAGCCTTTACAACCATTCTTTACTGGGACTTTGGCTATTTTTAATTTTGAATTTCTTCTCCCACCCCTTCCCCACCTTCAAAAGACTGTGTGTTTCTCTCTCACTGTTGCTATATGTCTAATCCAAATTCCTTTAAGGTCAGAAAACCTACTTTGTTTCTTAAGTACTGTTGTAGCGTTGAACATTGGACCTTGTACATGGAATTGCTCTCCCTGGATAAATAATCTTGGGGCACATGATCATCCCCCCTTTTTCCCCTCTGTTCCTATCTTCTTCAGCAACTTTCACTTCCTCCTCCTTGTTCCGTTCTTTTGAGAAGAGTGAGTAGATCTTTCATGGCAGCATCACTTAAGTAGTGGTTTCATGGCAGCATCACTTAAGTACTGTTACTCATTGAATATAAAAGAAAAAGGGAATCAAAAGAGAACAGCATTTCTAATATGTCTTTAGAAATTTTATTCCATTTAGAAGTGGCATAGTTTCATATTTGATTATACATTGTTCATACAGTTTACTATTTGTACTAAGATCTATATTTCATTAATTTTTATAATTTTTATAAAGACATTCCTTGTTCTTCCATACCCTTGAGCAACTACTGAACATGTAATATAACTATTAAATTGAAAAGGCTGAACATCATGGGGTGGAAGGGAAACAACTTAATTTTTTCTCCCATTCTTCTTTGATCTTATTCTCTCTACCCCCCCCCCTTTTTTTTTTTATTGTTTCTGGGTGGAATATATATCCTATAAATATCATATCACACACACGAACACACACATATATCCTATAATACACTGTAAGTATTCTATAACTTTTTCTACCACTTTAGATTACAAGAAGAGTCTCATTGCAGTACTTAAATGTCCCCTTTGAACTTGATTAAAAAAATAAATCTTCCCTTCCCCTGCTCTGGCCTGGCTGGGAAGCCAGCAATGGAGAAGAGGGCCCTGTTTGCTATTGTAGGAAATACTGCTTGTTTTCAGAACAGGCCCTTTACTCAGTATCACAGGCTGCTCTTTGCTTCTCGATGGGGAGCTTTTATCAGGTATGGGTTAGACAGTAGTCTTCGTACCCCTCAATTTCCAGGGAAGGTAGGTTACACTCTCCGGGGCCCCTCATAAAACCCTCTTTCTCTTGGTTTAGGATAACAGGAAAGCACCTCCTCCCCTCTCCCATGGAGTATTGTAGAAACCCCACAGCAGTACAGCAACTTTGTCCAGAGATTCTGGACTTCTTTACCCTTAAATTCTTGGAGGTGAATATTAGTCTAAAAGGTCACAAATCAATTTTTTATTAGTTTTTTTACAGGTTAGCATAGAGAGTTTAGTATCTCTTTTAAAAATGGGGTTACTTGATATATTTTATCTTTTGTGAGCCTCATTGGAAATGAGTCAGAAAGAATCCTGTCTTAATATGCTAGTATAGTAATAAGCACACCTGCTGAATTAACTGCTTTCTGAATTAACACAATCAATATGAAAGAAAAGAATAACCATACCACAGGGCTTGGAACTGATCCTTTTCTTTAGGAAAAATGATTGTTCAAGAAATTGAGATATGGCAAGTGTATTGTGTAAGCTCTGAGTTCTGATGCAGCCTTGAAGATAAATTTGTTTTTAGCAGTTGAATCTATTTAGTCCAAAGTCCAAATGCTGCTTTTTATTGAATTGTAAAGATTACCCAAACTTGAAAACTAAAAGATGAAGTCACTAGGATTTTCCAGTGTTGACCTTTATCTGTATTTAATTTGCATGAATTCCCAATTATGAACATTTTAAAGAATTGTTAGACTTTTTAATTTTTACTCCTTAAGTATTTTGGTAAATTTATTTTGAGAGTGATTCAACAAGTATTTGTTGACTGCTTGCTATGTCAGGGTACAGACCTGGATCTGGAGATATGATAGTGAACAGGAGAGATTCAACTCGTACCCCAGGGAGCTTAAAATTCTAACAGGACAGGTGGGTGGGGTGGGTATGGAATTACACAACTACCTGATTTTCAAAAATATTGCATTCATAATAAGTATTTCAAAGGAGAAATATAGTGGGTGAAAATATAAAGCTAGGGAAACTGACTTACCTTTAAGTCACTTAAAACACGTAACCTCTTACATAGGGGAGCTCTGCCTTATTTGACTTCTGATTCTCAACTCCTACTACAATTTCCTGTTGTTCTAAATACTTGTTAATTGGTTAATGAGTTTATTCATTAAGTTACTCATTCAATAGGTATTTTGTTAGTACCTGCTAAAAAGCTATTGTGTGCAGAGTACCCTGTAAATATAAAGAGCAACAGAAAGATGAATTAGATTTATGTACTATATTTGGGAGCCTGTATGCTAGTAGGGAAGCTAAAATGTCCATCAAAACATAAAATACATAGTAGACAGTGGTAAGTACCTTAGATGAAATGTATACGAAATAGTTCTAAAAGGAACAGGTGTTCATATTTTACTAGGGATCAGAGAAAGCTTCATTTAGGACATAAGATTTGAACTGGGACGTGAAGGGTGGAGGGAGGATTCTAAATATTATAAGTGAGCAGCATGAGGAAGTTCACAGTAGCATAATTTAATCTGTAAAAATTTGGAGTTGATATGCTATCTGACTTTGAGATTTGTCCTACAGCCTCTTTAGCTAGTTGATAGTTCCTTTCCTATATGAGTTAACTGGTCACCAGAATTGATTTCTCTATTTCTTTAATATTATCACTTAATTTCCTGCTCCCCAC